CACCCCCCCAGCGCCCTCACCTTCCTTGAGGCTCAGGGCCCGAGCGGCCGGGGAGCCCTTCAGCACGTCCTTGACGAAGAGGCCTTGCTTCCCTCCTCCGGCCACGCTCATGCCGCTGACCCCGGCCTCGGCCTCCGTCTCCACGATGATCTCCAAGAGCTCCGACGTCTCGATGGTCTTCTGGAGGGGGAGGGGGGGACGAGAAAGGTCCAGTCGGTCTGCCCCACCTCAGAGCCCCCCCTGGCCCCTCCTGCGTGTCGGAGCGGAATGTGGCCTCTCCGGCCACGTGGATCCCACCCCAGCCCCTGCCGGGCTCCGGGCTCACCTCCATCTTGCGGAGCTGGGCCTCCATCCCCCCTGGAGCCTGGGTCTCCTCCTCTTCCACCTTCTCTTCCACCGCCTCTTCGGAGCTGGCCCGGCTGGCCCCCTTCCGCTGCAGGACCCGCTTCAGCTCCGCATGGAGCCTCTCCTTCTGAGCCTGCAAGGGCCCCCACGGTCAGAGCTCAGAGGCCGCCTCCACACTGGCCTCTCTCAGCCAGCCTGACTGTCAGCTCAGCGGCCCCCACTTCCCTCTCGGAACCGCCTGTCATTTCAAGGTATTTGGGGAGTCTCTGCTGCAGTCTCCAGCCTCCCCCCCCCCCCGCACGGAACTATGATGATCTGCAGGGCTGAGCGAGGGGAACCGGTTTCAGACCGGCTTCGGCACGAAACAGAAGACGGCTCCCCTCGGGCCAGCTCTGCTAGACCCAGAGCCAGCGTCTCCCCCTCTGGGTCGCTCGGCCGTGGCAGACGTCCTTCCCCCCTCCCTGGAATCCCGCTTTGGACAGAGGCCCACCTCCGCTCAAAGAGGAGTGCATGAATGACCGACTGGACCCCCCCCTTCCTGAATGAAAGTGACACCACAAGGGAAACTGTGTACTCGGCATGCCAGACAGTGCTTCCAGTCACTCCCCTCCAAAGAAGAAGAAGAGGAGGAGGAGGAGGAGGAGGAGATTGGATTTATACTCCACCCTTCACTACCCAAAGGAGCCTCAGAGAGCAGCTTACAATCTCTTTCCTTCCCCTCCCCACAATAAGAACATATGGGGCAGAGGTCCACCAGTGGCTATTGAGCCAGTCTGGTGTCGTGGTTAAGTGCGCGGACTCTAATCTGGGAGAACCGGGTTTGATTCCCCACTCCTCCTCCACTTGCACCTGCTGATGTGACCTTGGGGAAGCCATAGTTCTGGCACAGCAGTTCTTGAAAAAAAGAGCAGTTTCTGTCAAGAGTTCTCAGCCCCACCTACCCCCATAGGGTGTCTGTTGTGGGGAGGGGACGGGAAAGGAGTTTGTAAACTGCTCTGAGACTCCTTTGGGTAGCGAAGGGCAGAGTATAAATCCAATCTCCTCCTCCTCTTCTTATTAGCCACAAGGTATAGATAGGAACTCTCGGTTTGGGACAAGTGATGCACTTGGTGCTGGGGGGGGGGCAACAGTGGGAGGCCTATTGTCCTGGCCGCACTGCTGGACCTCCTGATGGCACCTGGTGTTTTTGGCCACTGTGTGACAGAGTGTTGGACTGGATGGGCCATTGGCCTGATCCAACACACTGTCACACAGTGGCCAAAGACACCAGGTGCGGTCAGGAGGTCCCGCAGTGGGGCCAGGACACTAGAAGCCCTCCCACAACAGACACCCTTGTGAGGTAGGTGGGGCTGAGAGAGCTCTCTCAAGAACTGCCCTTGAGATAACAGCTCAAAGAGAACTTGTGATTGACCCAAGGTCACACCGTCAGCTGCATGTGGAGGAGCAGGGAATCAAACCCGGTTGTCCCAGATCACAGTCCGTGCTCTTAACCACTACACCAAACTGGCTCTCTAGGGTTACCAGCTCTGGGTTGGAAAATTCCTGGATATTTGGGGAGGGTGGGGTTTGCCAAGGGGCAGGGAATCAGCAGGGCATGGTGCCATTCAGTCCGCCCTCCAAAGCAGCCATTTTCTCCAAGGGGACTGATATTTGTCTTCCGAGATGAGCTGTAATTCTGGGAGACCTCCAGACCTGACCTGGAGGCTGGCAACTTTACCTCTCCCCAGAGCCCCTGGAAGAGAAATCCCCCCCCCCGTCCCGGCCAGAAACTTACAGCTCTGTCTGGGTCCGCGGCCTCCTCCGGGGACAGGGGCAAGTGCGGGCCAGTGGAGGGCTGGACATGAGCGGGCTGGTCATTCCTTTGGGACTCGGCTGCCTGCAAGACGGCGGGAGGAGGGGAGAGGAGAAAGTCACTGCGAGACCCCACCCATCCTGGGTACCACCACCAGGACCCCTCACACCCAGCAGCCTCAGCACCGATTCACTCAGCCGTCCCGGGCCCACACACGGAGCGGCTCCATACTGAGTCAGACCCCCCCCTCCCCCTCAATCCATCAAGGTCAGTCTTCTCTACTCAGGCTGGCAGCCGCTCCCCAGGGTCTCATGCGGAGGGCTTTCACGTCACCTCCTGCCTGGTCTTTTTTAACTGGAGATGCTGCAGGGGACTGAACCTGGGGCCTTCTGCGTGCCAAGCAGAGGCTCTTCCACTGAGCCACGGCCCCCTCCTTACAGCTCTCCAGGGTCTTAGGCAGAGGTCTTTCCCATCACCTCCTGCCTGGCCCTTTTCAACTGGAGAGGCCGGGGATTGAACCTGGGACCTTCTGCATGCCAAGCAGAGGCTCTTCCACTGAGCCACGGCCCCTCTTTACAGCTCTCCAGGGTCTCAGGCGGAGGTCTTTCCCATCCCCTCCTGCCTGGTCCTTTTTAACTGGAGATGCCGGGGATTGAATCTGGGACCTTCCACATGCCAAGCAGAGGCTCTTCCACTGAGCCACAGCCCCTCTTTACAGCTCTCCAGGGTCTCAGGCGGAGGTCTTTCCCATCACCTCCTGCCCCTGGGCCTTTCTAACTGGAGATGCTGGGGATCGAACCTGGGACCTTCCACATGCCAAGCAGAGGTTCTTCCACTGAGCCACGGCCCCTCTTTACAGCTCTCCAGGGTCTCAGGCGGAGGTCTTTCCCATCACCTCCTGCCCCTGGGCCTTTCTAACTGGAGATGCTGGGGATCGAACCTAGGACCTTCCACATGCCAAGCAGAGGTTCTTCCACTGAGCCACGGCCCCTCTTTACAGCTCTCCAGGGTCTCAGGTGGAGGTCTTTCCCATCATCTCCTGCCCCTGGGCCTTTCTAACTGGAGATGCTGGGGATCGAACCTGGGACCTTCCACATGCCAAGCAGAGGTTCTTCCACTGAGCCACACCCCCTCTTTACAGTTCTCCAGGGACTCAGGCGGAGGCCTTTCCCATCACCTCCTGCCTGGTCCTTTTTAACTGGAGATGCTGCTGGGGATTGAACCTGGGACCTTCTGCATGCCAAGCAGAGGTTCTTCCACTGAGCCACGGCCCCTCTTTACAGCTCTCCAGGGTCTCAGGCGGAGGTCTTTCCCATCACCTCCTGCCCCTGGGCCTTTCTAACTGGAGATGCTGGGGATCGAACCTAGGACCTTCCACATGCCAAGCAGAGGTTCTTCCACTGAGCCACACCCCCTCTTTACAGTTCTCCAGGGACTCAGGCGGAGGCCTTTCCCATCACCTCCTGCCTGGTCCTTTTTAACTGGAGATGCCGGGGATCGAACCTGGGACCTTCTGCATGCCAAGTGGAGGCTCTGCCACTGAGCCACGACCTCACCCCTTAAATCATGAAAACCCATGGAGCTGCCTTCTAATCAAGGTCGGTCTTGTCCACTCTGCAGGATTTCCGGTAGTGGTCTCTCCCATCAGCCACTGCAGCCTTTTCCTTTTAAACTGTGCCGAGGATTGAACCGGGGCCCTTCTGCACGCCAGGCCAAGCAGGGGCTCTTCCCTGGAGCCCACAGTGGCCTTCAGCTTTTCCTGCACAGAGGCGGGCCGAGGCTACCAGAGTCTGACCACCGTAACTGCTGAAGCACAAAAGGGCATTTTGCTGACCCGCTTGGGACCTGTGCGGCTCCCCACACGCCCCGCTGGCCAGGCCAACTGGCAAGCCATGGAGCACCAGGGATGAGTGGGGAAAGAGAGCCCCATGGAGGCAGCTCTGGCCTGGGAAGGGGTCACACACGGACAGAGGGGGAGCCGCGCTCTGCCACTGGAGGGCCTGGACTCCGAGTGGACTCCTGGGGGGACGCAGCAGCAGCAGCAGCTTTTGAGCGGCCACCTAGATGTCGCCCCAGACAATCTGGCCATGGGTTTGGAGGCTGTGGCAGGATGGCTGAAGAAGAGCCGGCCGAAACTGGATCCGAAAAAGACGCAGGTGCTGTGGCTGGGGGGAGGGGCTTTCAGGACTTGGGTTCAGCCCACCAGCCCTTGACAGGGCGCCGTTGTCATCGGCGCAGTCCGTCAGGAGCTTGGGTGTGACCCTGGATTCCTCCTCCCTCAGTATGGAGGCCCAGGTTACACATACAGCCAGGGTGGCATTTTCCCATCTATGCCAAGCCCGGCAGCTGGCCCCTTTCCTGTCGCGCTCCAACCTGGCCACAGTAATCCACGCTGTGGTCACCTCCAGGCTAGACGACTGCAACTGGCTCTACGCTGTCCTGCCCTTGAGACTGACCCGGAAGCGCCAACTGGTACAGAATGCGGCGGCGCGTGTCCCGACGGGAACATTGCGAAGTGCACCTATTCAACCTGCACTACCCCAGCGGCACTGGCTTCCAGTGGAGCACTGAGTCAAGTTCGAGGTTTTGGTTCTGACCTTTAAGGCCTGGTGTGGCCTGGGACCGACACATCTACAGGACCACCTCCCCTGCTACACCCCTGGAAGAGCACTGCGCTCTTCTTCACAGATTAACGTGCTGGTGGTTCCCGGCCCGAGAGAGATCTGGGTGTCCCCCACCAGGACCTGGCCCCGACCCTGTGGGACTCTCTGCTGAATAACATCAGGGCCCTGCAGGATCTTTTGCAACTCCACGGGGCCTGTCAGGCAGAGATGCCCGGCCAGGCCTTTGGCTGAGGGCAGCGACGGTTTACCTCACGGCCGGCACCCTGCCTGGATCCTTCGCTCCTTAGGAGCTTACTTTCTCCTCTACCCTTGCGTAGCATCCACTGAACAGACGTGGGAGAGAAAAACCAGAAACTTCAGCCGCTTTCCTCATCTACTGGATAATTTGCTGGATGTGGTTGTTACGTTTGTACGGTTTTAAGCCTGCAAATCACCCAGAGGCCCCCACTACGGTGGGGATCAGGCAATTAATAACTATGATAAATAAACAATAAATGCTACAAAGCGCAGCGTGGGTCCGTTCGGACTGGGACATGTGTCCCCCACCCCACCCTCCGAATCGCAACCGGTGGCCGTGTGGACAAGCTGCCTACCACGGCCTTCGGTCTACTCCCCCCCCCCCAGGCTGGTATTCTGCAGCATCCATTCCTAAGTGTGGCGGGGGGGGCGGGCGCATGGCTACTCACAGGTGCTTGTCGTCTGGTCCTGCTCACGTGGCTTTCTGGTACGTGGCCCTCTGCAGCTGTGGAAAGGAACCAGGCGGTTAATTACCTGGGCTTCTGGCTGTGCGGTGACTGTGCAGTTTCCTTCCACGCCCTAGGGTATCCATCCCTGTATTTATTGTATTTTATATCTGTATTTGCTGGTTTTATACCGTATGTTGTTTTAAATTGTTGTAAGCCGCCCTGAGCCGCTTCGGCGGGAGGGTGGGGTAAAAGCCCAAGTAAATTAAAAATAATAATAATAAAAAAATCCCCTGGCCCCAGGAAGGAGCGGGGCAGGCGTCACGGCAGGACTGGGTCAGGGGAGGGGAGGAGAGAGCCCCCCCCCGGCCACTCAAGATGTGATGGGGCTATGCAGCAGGCCTACGGACACTGTCCTCCCACAGAAGTGAAGGGTCCCCTTTAGCTCTGCAGTGCAAAGAAAAGACAACTTCCTAGTGCAATCGTAGCGCTCCTCGTGCAGTCGGGAGCAGTGTTCCCTCTGAGCTGAGCTAGTGTGAGCCAGCTCAGTTTTTTAGCCTCCGGCTCACACATTTTTGCCTTCGCTCAGGAAGGACGGGGCTCCAGAGCAAACTGATTTATGCAGGAGCCAAATCGCTCACTCACAACTTTAATGCCAGAGCTCACAGAGTAGAATATTTGCTCACAAGAGGACTCCGCAGCTTAGAGGGAGCATTGGTTGGGGGGGGTGCCCCCCTGAACCAGCTGACCCTTGTCGCAGAATGGCAGCCCTCCGCCCCAAAGTCTTGGCAAGAGAACAGCCCTGCTGGGTGGGGCCTCTGCTTTCCAACGCGTGCTCTACAAAGACGCACTAAATAGGCACACTGGCTCTAGCCATCCTCCCTGGTGTCGGCGGCAGCAGCTCCTCACAGGTAGACTGCCTCTGACTAAGGGGGCACCAGCAGCCCTCCTGACCGGTCCTCAAATCCTGATATCGCCCCCCCCCCAATCCACTGCCTTCCGTCCTTGCTCTGCCGGCAACCCTGTTCAGCAAGCAGCACGGCAAGCGCCAGCAGCGTCTCAGGCCCTGAGGATGGGCAGCATTTCATTCCCACGCTCACTTGGGTGCCAAAGACCCACACTGCCCCGTGCCATTCCCCGAAAGGTCAGGGCTCTGCGCTGCGCATTCCCAGGCCCCGGCAGACAAAAGGACGCTGCGTCTCGGCAAAGCCCGCGGGGACATAGCTGGCATTCTGGGCCCCGTTCCGAGACACCTCCTCAGAGCGCAGACTGGCACCCCCCCCACACACACACACGGCTCCAGGCCGGAACCACCCCAGAGCTGAGCTGACAGGGGTCCCCCCATCCCTCACCAAAAAGAAGAGATTGGATTTACACCCCATGGCCCTTCACTACCCAAGGGAGCCTCAGAGCGGCTTTCACACTCCTTTTCCCTCCCTCTCCCCACACACAGACACCCTGGGAGGCAGGTGGGGCTGAGAGAGCTCTGACAGAAACGGCTCTTTCTCAAGGACAGCTCTGACCAGAACTACGGCTTGCCCAAAGTCATCCAGCAGGTGCAAGTGGAGGAGGAGTGGGGCATCAAACCCGGTTCTCCCAGATTAGAGTCCGCGCACTTGACCACTACACCAAACAGAGTGGGGGGTAGACACGCGTCTGGGAGCCCCTGAGAGACCAAGAAGGTTCTCAGAGTCTGAGCTGCCGCGAGTCCTGGCTCCCTCGTCAGGGAAGATGGGGTTTGCCTCCTTCACACTCCCACGAATGGGAGAGCGGCAGCGGGTGGGGGGCAACGCTCCCTCTAAGCTGCAGAGTCCTGTGAGCAAAGATTCCACTTTGTGAGCTCCAGGCATTCAAAGTTGTGAGTGACTACTGCATGAATGAGTTTGCTCTGGAGCCCTCCTTCCTGAGCTAAGACAAAAGTGTGTGAGCTGGAGGCTAAAAAACTGTGAGCTGGCTCACACTAACTCAGCTTAGAGGGAACAGTGGGGGGGCAGTTCCAGCTGGGCGGACGGAGGAGCCCTGCCGAAAAGGAGGACCACGGGATCACCCAGCGGCTTCAGGACAAAGGAAAGAAGGTGCTTCTCCACAAGCCGTCCTTCTCCTCTGGAGCTGCCGCTCTCTGGCCAGCCGTGATCAGTCGAGGGCCGTGAGCCACAGGGACGGGCTCAGCTACCGGTGACAGAGGCTGCAGGCCACGGAGGTTGAGTGCCAGAGCCCCGGCCTCTGCGGGCAGAAAGTCCCCCCTGTGCCCAGTCCCCGGCCTCTGCAGGAGAAGGACAAAGCCTCTCTGGCCGCCGGAGGCCAGTCGGAAGGGCCAAGGGCACCCGTCAGCAGAGGCCTGCTCTCCCAGCATTCCTCATAGCACCCCCTGGAAGCAGCCAGCTGCCCTGGGCCGGATCCAGCAGGCTCCTGCGCACAGGGCTCCGGATGTGCTCAGAGACCTCACACAGTGTTCCCTCTGAGCTGGGTCAGTGTGAGCCGGCTCACAGTTTTTTAGCCTCTGGTTCACACATTTTTTTGCCCCAGCTCAGGGGCTCCAGAGGAAACTAGTTTACGCAGGAGCCAAATCGCTCGCTCACGACTTTCATGCCAGCAGCTCACAGAGTGGAATTTTTGCTCACGAGACTCCACAGCTTAGAGGGAGACTTGTAGTCCTGAGCAAACTATGCAGGAGCCAAATGGCTCACTCACAGCTTTAAGGCCCGTAGCTCACAAAGTAGAATTTTTGCTCATGAGACTCCACAGCTTAGAGGGAGCCTTGATCTCAGCCCCTCAGCGCTCCCTGCTCCCCGCCCTCAGGTGTGCCAGGCGGGTGGGTGCAAAAGCAGGCACCAGCAACAAACCCCCCCCCCCCCGCCCCGCCCCTCCCCCCCCGCCCCCCCCCCCCAGCGAATGCAGTGGAACGGTGGCTTCCCACTCTCCGGCAGACAAACAGCGGCTTGTTCCCCTCCAGCCGCCTCCCCCTGGCCTGGCAACTGCGCGGGGAGCATGCCAGGCATTCTGTTGGCTCAGCACGCGGGAGGCCCGGAGCTGCCCCTCCGCAAGGTGGCCGGGCCTGAGGAGCGACGGAGGGAGCTGGGCATCACGGGCTCCTGGCCAGGGGACTCAGGGGGACCTCCCCACCCAGAAGCAGTCGGCCGTTGGGTGCCACCGCCAGGAGGCAGCCTTGGGGGACACCCCAGCCTCTGGGCGCAAGAGAGGATGTTGGACTGGTTGAATGCTCCCTCTCAGCTGCGGAGTCTTCTTGTGAGCAAAAATTCTGCTTTGTGAGCTGCTAGCTTTAAAGCGAGTGAGCCATTTGGCTACTGCATAAAATCAGTGTGCGCTCTGGAGCCCTCCTTCCTGAGTTAAGACAAAAATGAGCAAGCCAGAGGCTAAAAAACTGTGAGCTAGCTCGCACTCGCTCAGCTGAGAGGGAACACTGGGTGGGACCCTCTTCCGTTCTCGCGTGGAACTGCCTGGCAGAAGGACACGGCCGGTCAGGCAAAGGGTCAGCGGGGATCTCATGCGTCCCAGAGGGGCGGCTGTGTCCATCTACTGTTGCCAAACAAAACAGAACTCCAGGGACACCTCACAGACGAAGGACACTTATCCCAAAGCTCACTGGCTCAGATCCTGTGCGAATCTCGGCAGTCCGGCATCCACTCCCTTCTTCCCCCTCCTCTCACTCATGCACGTAAAGGCCCAATCCCACCCACGTGCACCCCGGGGGCCAGCCCTGCTTGGCTCAGAGGGCCTGACATCCAGGGGTGCAGGCATAGGATTGCAGCCGTGATCACGCCGGCAGTGCAGTGCAGTGCAGTGGTCAGAGTTGTTGTTGTTCAGTCGCACAGTCCAGTCCGACTCTTCGTGTTCAAATTCCACAGTTGCCAGTGAAGATTCCCTTGTGCTAGTCACTGTCTCTGCCAAATCTACCTCATCTGTCTTCATCGTCTGATGAAGCGTGCACGCGCATCACGCCTTGAATAAAACTTTCTTGGTCTTACAGGTGCCCCCACTGGACTCTTTACTTTGTTCTATCACAAGGATGTTGTGAGGGTACAGCAGGGAACGCAGGTGGCTCCGAGCGCCTCAAAAGGACGGCAGGGTTTTTAAAAAAACGTACCCGAGGAATCGATTGATCTCTGGGCGACCACATACGTGCCAGAGAGGGACAGGCCTTCCACAGAGAGTGGGGAAAGGACGTCCTGCCTGCAGCGAGTGGTGCATCCTCCACACACGGGCTCCACGCACTGAGCATTTTTGTCGCATGAACCAGCCAAGCCGGCAGTGCGGACCCCGGCTGCGGAGAACAGGCACTTCCCCCGCCTGACGCTGCCTTCATTGGCACCACCCTTTCACGAGGCCAGACCAAGCCCAGCCACTGAAAAACCGAGCTGGGAGCTGGCAGGCAAGTCCCAGGATGTGGGGCGGGGGGGGGGCAGTCCAAACGCCAGTCGGCTGGAAGCCAAAGGAAAGACCAAGACGCGGGCCCCACCCAAGGATGAGGCACCCACCCTACACATATACGGGGAAGGGAAGGAAATGGCCCAGCCTCCCCCCACCCCCAATACCTAGAACAGAGGGAACCTTTTCAGGCTCATTTCCTTCCACTGTTGTTCCACACATTTCAGGAAGAAACGGGGAGGGGGGGGGTAAAAAGCAATTGAAGCAGTGCAAGAATTGGCGGGGGCCGGGAGAGAGGCCCGCTAGAGTTGGCCAAGGAGCAGCCCTCAACAGACCAGACAGGGCACACACAGGGGCGAGTGGGGAGGGGGCTCAAAGATTGGATAGCCCCCCCTCCCACACACCCCGGTATTGTTTGTCCTTCACTCCCTGCCATTTCTTGCCTGCCTTTGTTGTGTCCCTGCGATGGGATTATGAAATCCTTTGCAAGTTGTGTGTGTGGGGTGCACCTTGACTGATTGATGGTGTGACCTGTGACCATTCAGGGCACTGAATCTGCGAGTTCATTCACCCAAGGAGGGTGAAGGCACGCTCTGCACGTGCCCAGGGGCACTCTTGCCTGTTCCACAGCACATCTCAAAGCCACCCAACAGAGGGGGCCCCAGTTCTG